TCGAAGCAAATTGACGAAAAAGATGACAAAATCCAACTCGGCCAGGGTAAACGTGCCTTAGGGCCGGTTTCTCAATAGTAGGACACCCCCGGGTTAAATAAAGGGGTTAAACATAACTCCAAGGTAAACAAAGCAACTGGACACGCTGACCCTGGAGTTGAAATTAACCCGGAGGTGTCTCGCTATTAGAGAGATATCGGTAACCCAAAGAGGTTCATGCGGTATTAGCGCCTACGTTATTTTGACATTAAACCTATGCACGATTCGATTTTTAACACTACGTACTAAAATAACGTTACCGCATAACGTAATTTACCCAGCATTTACGTTAAGCGCTATTTCGAATAACGTCTAAAAATAACGTCGTGGAATAATAGGTTATGTTATGTTTATTGTTTATTTTATTATTTTTGATGTGTTCAAGTGAATATGGATTGTTCAAAAAATAGTAGAAAAGCAGATCCTCTGTCCCTGACTATGAACAACAGACAACACAAATCAAATCACAACAAGATACAAGTTAGGCTACGGTTATAAAATAGCGAATGCGAACAGGCAAATTTTACGTTAAACTGTTTTCCGATAACTCTAATTCGAAAGTATGATACCGCTTTACTTTAAAAAATAACTCCTGACGTTATTACCGTCCATACGCGCTATCTGTTTTACCGATATCTCTCTATGAGAAACCTGCCCTTACGTGTCCAGTTTCAATGGAGTTATGCTTAACCTGGGGGTGACTTGCTATTGAGAAACCGGCCCTTAGGGCCGAATTTATGGTTGCTCCTTTAGATTTCCTCAGAAGCCTCAGATTTCAAGGAGGCCTTGAACGTTCAGAATTGATATATGACTAACTTGTCACATAGTAGCAAGTGTCCACTCTTAATTCACGACCTTCAAGGAAGACCCAAGGAACAACTCTTAATTCGGCCCTTACCTACCACACATTTAACAACTAGGGATGCCCATCCAACTGATAACATCGATGTTTCGGTATCGATAAAACATCGAAAGCTGATATCGATGTTAAGAAAATATTGGTAAAAAACCATCGATGTTTTCTCAACATCGATTTTTGGAAGGTAATAATTTGGGCCTGACGCCCCCAAAAAATTTTCGGGGAGCCTGCGACAAGCTGCCTCCGGCGCGGCGGTAAGTAAGCGCGTGCGTATCGGATTTTTGTTTACCCCCCCCCCCCCCCACCAGACCCACACTCTGGATGCGCCACTGGTTAAGTCACTAAAACTTATTAGTACTGGCATTTTTTCTCAATCAAATAATAATTCTTATTACATCACTAAGACATAATTCCATAAGCGAAATATCAGATCGCTAAATTATAGGGTTTCGACGAGATACCTAATTTACGTGATTTGTTTTTTGGCTCTCCTGAAAAATTATAATATTATGACTTAATACACTTTACCTCTGAGGTACAGAGTTACATTCCAACTTTTTTTTTCTTTTTTCTGAGCACTATCCATTTCTTGGCGAAAAGTTCCAAATTTCTGACGAACACTCTCAACATCTTCACCTATTTCTTCACGTATTTCTTTCTCGAGTTTTTCCTCAGAGATTATGGTTTGAAACCAGACCCGCTCTTTCTGAAGTTGGTCCTTTTTTTCCTGATGCCTTTATTTCTGTCTTCGGGCTTAATTTTTTTGTATGTCTTTCTTTCTTTGAACTTCCTCTTAGACCTCTTATTACTTTGAGCAGTTTTCTTGACAACAATGGAGGCTACTAGCCGACAAGCGTAGGAGAGGCCAACCGCCTACCCGATGGAGCGATGACTTGGAAGCGACTTCAGGAGGCCTATGTCAATGTATAGCAGTAGATCCGGGAGGCTGCGTGACGATGATATGTTATCTTCGATGTTTTCCATGATGTCCAGCAACATGTGATTGACTTACTGAATTTCGGTGGTTTACTGTCGTGTATATTCACCATAGAATAGTCTTGAATTTTGATTTGAAATATGAAAACCTCCGGCAAAGTCAAAGTTCCCATGCCGTGCCTAATTTTAAAATAGTACACGATCACGATGGAATTTTCTATAAAAATTTGTGGACTTGTTTTTCAATGTCAAAACAAGTAGGTATGTAATAAATAGATTCGCTATTCTTGTATCAATTTCAGTTCCCAAAATTCTGTTGTTAATAAGTATTATAAAGTAACAGAGATAGAATTTAAGTTCGTAAGCAATCTCGATTATACCCTCCGACAAATTATGGGAAGGCGTTACCGGAGATATCTAGGGGTGTTTTGAATTAGACAATCAGACAACCGGTTATAGTGACATAGTTTTGCAAAATATTAAAATTAATTTAGTTAGTTTGTCGTAATTTTTGTGCACCTCCAAATAAAATTTCATTGGTAGCTGGAATAGTGAATCATTAGGTAGGTAATGGAAAAACTTGGTGAAAAAGTAAAGATCCGTTCGAATTTTTTGGCGCGCAATCTGCCAGAATTTGTTTCATTATCGTATGTCATGTTATTTTGTATAGCCATTGCTACTATGCTTATTAACAGCCTCTGATAAAACACTACAGAAAAGTAAAAGTTATCACCATATTAAATTAAATATCACATCGTACGGTCCTGGATAAAACAGGGACAAAGCGTTCCCTCTTTTTGAATGGCGCACGCTCCTTACCATGAAACAGGATTAGAATCGATATTATATGATGGGACGGGATGAGAGATAGGACGTACAAATCCAAGTTGCGGCTAAGTGTTTTGTAAATTCTCGTTCGCCAATACTCAATGAAATAGCATGGCTATGACTAGGCAAAGCATTTTAATCCAATATAGCCATCACTATAGCCTAAACTAAATTGCTTTTAAATATCACCCATTACATTAATTATCATTAAAATCAAATATAGAATTATATCCTAACCAAACTAACCCAGACTCCTATACGTAAATAGTAAATTGTAATGTTTCTGAACAGTTCTATTTAACTTATTTTTTTAATCAATATAAATTGCTATTACCCAGAAGATAATCTGCAAAATTTGGCACTTCCGAAGTAATTTCAACAATATGGCTGAAACGCTGAGGGTGGAAGCTTTTTATGCAAAATTTAAATTACCCTTTACCCTTTGAAGTCATAATCTCAAAAGTTTGAGATGAAAATTAGAGGCACTTCTTTTTGACTAGGTAGTACATATTATAATGTTTTAGTTTTGGTAAGATGGGTATGTTTCACCTCGATCAACTACTTTGATAATTGCCAGTTCAGTTTACAATCGTCTTGTCAGTATTTTTACGGGGTGTAACTAATAGACAAACAGTTACAACTATCCTAATATTAAACTTGTTCATATGGCTGGGTTCCGTTTTAACTTCAAAATTACTACATAGATACTATACTATTTAGTTTATCATATTTACTAGGGAATTGTGTGTCTTACAGTTGTAACACAATCTTTATGGATATGTTTCACATTTATTTATTAAATTGCAGAAAACGTCGACGTTTCTCTCTAGAAGGTATCAGGGATAAATTGGAAAAATCACTGAAATACACAAAATGTACATGGTGTCCCATTTTTGATGTCTTGAATAAAAACGACCGGAAACAAATTAATAAAAAATCTGGGAGTATTTTCTTGAGCTCTCTTTACGAGAAATTAACAATGGTGAAAATATGTCACAGCTGACTAGTTGCGTTTAGGAAATACAGGACGATTTTCAATCTTGCCCAATTTTGAGCGATTGAAATTTCTTTATTATTCAAGATAACGAAAAACCATTTTTTTTTAATTAAGAAACCAGTGGTTTGGTGACCTAGGTATCTACGTGATTATTGTACAATAATTTTTCTGTCATTGTATGTTGTGTGTGTGTGTGTGTGTGTGTGCCCTGAAAAAGTACTAATTTATTTGGTCAAAACGTCGGAAAATAAAAAAAGTGTGGCTTTTTTTTCTATTGTCCTGTACCCACTAATTTGTTAACTAAACTATGGACAGGATCTTTAGAAGGTATAAAAGTTTCCGTTATATACCTACCTACGAAATAGAGTGCATTGGGCACATGCCTATTTTCAAAGGCTCTATGCATGAAATGTGAACAGAATGTAAAATTCCTATCTGGCAACGTAGGCAGGATTTGAATAACTCATCGAAAATTATATCCCAGAGGCTCGGGATTTCGACCCCACCTAAAACTGTTGTTGGCTTAAACTATTTATGTGAGTTAATGAAGTAAGGTTTGCCTAACCCTAAAACACTAAGGTCCTCTTAGGGCATTGTAACGTCAGAAGTGATTCACATTTAGCCCAAAAATAACTGAAGCTTTTGTATACCTACGCTGCTTCTATTCAGACCCTTCAAAGCCTCCATTAGTAGCAAAAGGACGAAATGTGCAAATCTTACAAAAAAGTTGTGGGTGGAATAAAAACTTAATTTTTACAAATTGGCCAACGTTACGACCTTTTATTTGGTTCCCTATTAAGAGAAAAAATTGTAATCGATATTCGCCATAAGGAAGTTTTTATTCCACCTCGTCCTTCATTTACGATTTTTCTCAACGTTATTTATTGATGCTGGCAACAGTGTTCTAGGGTTGGGCATGATAAATTATAAATACTTAGATATTCTTAGATAAGTCGAAAGCCCCCGAGCATTGATCAAAGTACTCTTGTCACATTCTAATTCAAAAACTTTTTGACCACAATTCCATAATTGTGCGTTAAAGGGCGTATTTTGAAGGTAAGTTTTTTGTTTTGAGCAAAGGGCAGACGCCACAGACGGTAAGGAATTAAAGGCTAGAGACAAATTGCATAGATAAAATTTGTCAAAAAAATCATTGCGATTATGTATTTTTAGTAGATTGCCTTAAAGTGAAGAGTTAAATATTGTCAGTTTTTGGTCGATTCGTCAACAGCGGCGCAGAAGAACTAACTGAATTGAACGAACACCCATTCCGCGCCCTTAACGACGCCATCTGGTGCCCTTACCCGGCATCGTCTAAGTGGGGTGGAAAAGGGATAAGGGGTCCGAGGGAAAAACCGCCACAGTCGAAAATCGCTCGTCGCATACTAGAGAAATTTGTTGGCGTGTTTTGGCCCCGTTGCTTGATAACTCCGGTCCTGAGTTGCGGCGATGTTTTGTCCGAGTAAACATGTTTGGTCAACATACGAGTGAAATTTTTGTCCTGCATGAGTCGCGCGTTTTTTCCAACATTTCCTTTCCCCAATAAAAATATTTTGGCTTTCTTCTGCATAACCATGGAAGAAGCCAAAATCGGTCGTTTTTTGTATCGATGATATTTAGAATATTTATAATACACCTGCTCGAGAAACAGTCATGTGGACAACATTAAAACGTCTGGTGTTTCCTTGGGTGTTAGTTTTTCTACACACTACTCAGTTAGGCAAGTTATTGTTTTAATATATTACCGGCACACCCACTGTGGATACATTCTTCTTTGAACTTTAAGATGTAAACACAGCCCCTCCCCTCGCACAAACAAAGAACACACAAATTTCTATTTTTAAAAACTACTCAATTTTTTTAGGAAACTGTTCGGAAGATGAAGAACGACTCGTTCGGGATCTCTTCAGGGGATACAACAAATTGATACGCCCTGTTCAGAATATGACTGAAAAATTGGACGTTAGATTTGGTTTGGCTTTCGTTCAACTAATCAATGTTGTAAGCATTATCTTCTTATTCTTATTCTTTGCTTATTTATAGTTTTATGTATGTGTAGATGTTTGGTTTTCCTCGTGGTGATTGTAGCTTTTGGCCTCCTCAATTATCACGTGTTTACTTCAACATAAGATTAATTTAGTGCTTTTTGTCACGCCCTATAGCCACCTCTAACTCTGATCCAAATAAATTTTCATAAAATGATGTATGTTGATATATTATTTTATTTAATATACATACTTACAACGGCTGTAATAATAAAGAATTATGTCGATGAAAATAAAACGGAGAAGAAAAAGCATAACAACAAAACAAAAATATTTTTAATTTCAATCTGCATAGATACCTATGTATGGATTAGGAAAATACAACCCCTGAAAAAATAAAAAACACCTATTTAAGTTGCAATATCAGAAGGGTTGGAGTTAACCTATATCCATCAAGGCAAAAAGGGTGTGTTTTGTCAAACGTAATTGATATTCTGTTGTGGCTGACCTAGACTTTGAATTAGATCAATTGCCCAGTTGGTACTTTTCAGGAGAAAATTGATTGATATCTTCAATATAAAAAAGTTGGTACCTGACAAAAAAATACCTTATCATCAAAATCTGAATATCCATGTAATTTATGTATGTATCTCTTACTTGCATATGTCAAATTAAGATTGATCCAAATACAAAATATAATTCTAAGAAGCAATAGAGAATGCTCGCCATGCGATAGCAATGGGTGTGTAATTCAAATTAACACTGGAAATTAAACTAAGAATGAGAGGAGAACATTTAAAAATGCAATAATTGGTATTAAACGGGAAATTGCACTTACTTACATCGAAGAACAAACTACGGAAATGGACTAATAAAATGCAAATTTCACACCACATAACTTTAATTTGAATCGATGGCTGTCAACGAAAATTGGACGTAAAATATTCTTGAATGCGATGGCAGCTTTTATGTAAAAACAACTCTCTGAACAGCATTAATATAATTGGCGTTATTTTATTGAATGTATACGATCCATTAAATGATTTAATGGGTGTTTATTCATCATAGAGATAATAAAAATGCTACACAATTTACTTGATCGCGTGTCAGTATTGCGACTAAGGGCGAGTTTATCAATGGACAGCTACGTGGTTTAACTGTAAACTAAACTAGCTATTGATAATTTGGTAAGCTTAGACAGCTTAAACCCAGCCTAAATAAGCACATTTATCATACTGACAGCCAAAGTGTGAAATCAGTTTTTTTACATTCTGAATGATTGTTTATCATTTTCTATGTTTTTTTTTTCCTTATTCCGTATTCTATGCTACGCTTGCAACTCTTTTTGTGATACGTTCTCCTAAAATCTCATCCATAATTATCTACAGTAAAAAGCCTTCAACTTGGATCTCATTTTACAAAAATTTTCCCCATATATCCTGTTTCTCATCACTAGCTAATTGTTTTTTTTTCTCAGTATATGTACAATATTTTATTTCTTTTGTTATTTCACCTTTCTTCTTGTCAACTAGGTGATTGTTTCTATAGAGCAGTTGTTTTTCCACATTCTCTTTGTCCTTTCGATTTTTCTGCTATTATTTTTTTCCGAATCCTTTTTGTGCTGGATGCGTCATCCTTCGTGTTAGTACCTTTGTTGCACTGTTCTTTACTGTCCTGAGCCCAAGTAAATCAGGTAGTAAAACAGGAGACAGGAGACATTACAACAGAATAACTACCTACGTCATAGAAAAACTTTTTTAATTTAAAATTAAATATCCATCAATTACTAATTTATAATGTCGAGGATAATAACTAAATAATAAAGCAATTTATACTTAAAATTTCAGAACTTTTAGGTTAATAAAAGATTATAGGAAGAAATTGACAAAAATTACAATTGACAATTGAGTTTGGTTTATGGACCTCGTCTCTAAACCCTTTGGCTATTCGAATGTTAATTGTTTTTTTTTTTTTTCAAATTTGCACCATATTGATGATCCATTGATGAATCAAACTCGATTTTGAAGGGGACATGCAGAGACAATCGCCAACAAAAGTTTTTTTTGATATTCCAGATTTTTTTTCCATTATATGTTGCGAGTATTTTGGCAAACATTTTGTTCATTTTTCGTCTTTGCCGTTGAATGTAACAATAATAACTCTCACATGAGAAAACAAAGCAGTGCCGTTAATTTTCATTGCCTGGAGAGTGGAGAGGTCTGACGACTCACATTGCTTTCATTTATTCCAATTATTACATTTGTCCGCAGAGTCTGCCTGATAAAAGTTCTTCCTGGCGAATTTTAAGAACTAGGTCAGTGTCTTAATTTTTAACTTTATTAAGTTATTCCATGAGGACTAGCATGTCAACAAAATAAAAACAGAAAAATGTATTTTCGTTGCCCTACTTTTGCAGAAACTTTTTTAAAAGACCTGATGGTTAATATAGGTACTTACATATTCATCATTTCTCAGTTACGGGTTACGGATACAAATTTTGAAAAGGTTTATTGAGAACATGTGATTTAAAATGAAGGGAAAAATGTGTTATGTATTCAAATTTATTGAAACAGTTTCGAAATATGCCCGTTCTAGAAAAATTGGATAGATTAGTGTAGCTGTTTCTGATGATTATTATTCCAAACATAGTCATTTTGGCTTCTTAAAAATGTAGCATCACATTTTCATTATAAACAAAATATTGCTCATACAAAGCAAACTACATATATTGGATTAGATAGAAAACTGATTCTTTTGTTTCAGAACGAGAAAAATCAAATTTTAAAATCAAATGTCTGGCTGAGATTGGTAAGACCTTTTTATTTAGAAAGCACTTATCAACGTGTTAAATTTATTTTTAATAGGTGTGGAATGATTATCAGCTACAGTGGGATGAGGCAGACTATGGAGGAATTGCAGTACTTAGGTTACCGCCAGACAAAGTTTGGAAGCCCGATATAGTTTTATTTAATAAGTAAGTTACAAATTTAATTCGTTTTTTAAATCACGTTTATTATGACCCCTCAACTTGCTTCAGGCTATATTTTTTTATACATTTTTCACTTCCTGAAAAAAAATCAAAACTCCTTTACGTGAGCAAAATACGATCAAAAGTAATTGAAAAAAAAGGGCCCCAGGCAATCAGATTTTGTCCAAAGGAAATTGTTTTTTATTCATATTTTCGAGGATTAATATTAGATATTTTTTTATGTATTATTGAAAGATAAATACATTTCTGGGTGAGATTTTTGATTGGAATGAGTTAGTTGCTGAAGGCAATTTCGTTTAGGATATTTGTATCCTAGTTTCTTATCTCATGGTATTCTTATCTATTTTCTATTCTTCTCTTATTGTTTTTCTTTATTTAAATCCACCTTTATTCACTTTCGATCAACTGGAATTGAACCACGCATGCCTTGTGCAAAATTTTTTGCGAGTTCCATTGCAATTCAATTTCAAATTAGCCCAATCTTGCACCCTCTTGCTCTTTTAAGTCACTGGTGGAATTCATTTAGAAAATGGAATTATATTTTTTTCCTACTATTTATTTAAATTCACACCAGAATTACTTTGCACAGCACAAGCACAATTTGCTGGAAACATTCAATTGAAACCTAATTAATCAAAAAACATTTCATTAGAAGCACAGCACATAGAAGGTAGGTACATTTTATTGAAAGGCAATCACCATTCATCGAATGCCGGATTTATTGAAAATACAGTTCATCGAAAATAAGTTGATTTCGTTTCAAATAACTGAATAAAAGGAAAGGAAATAATATATTTATATTAGGAAGTAAAATTTAATTGAAAGCCGCTAGGGAAAAGAGGCAGAGAGAAAAAAATTAGAGTAAACAATCTTTTCAGTTGAAACGAGGGACTGATTTTAGGGTGAATCATTGAACAATGTGACCGAAAAACGAGGACTAGCTCACAATCAGCTACTTTTGTTGGCATAGTTTATTTTAAATCTGTTAAGGTAATTTTGATAGGTCATCATTTTCCCTAAAATGTAAGAACGTAACTGACAGAAATAATAATAATTTGGTAGGATTATTCTTGTATTTTTTCTAATTTACAAGGTTAGAAAATTTTGCGCTCCTGACTTTTTAATACAGGGTGGGCAAAACATGGGTTATTGTGAAACAATAAATTATCTAGAGTAGGTACCCTACCCTTCGATTTTTTTTCGTAACTTCATTACTTGGTGAACTTTGCAAAATAGGCAACCAGATTAGGTGTACATATAAATTATTTTCCATTTTGAGAAAAATTAATATATCCGAATTAAAGATAATCGATCAAAGAATATTTATCCCAAATTTGGGCGAATTCTGATGTGAGGTTTTTTTTTTTTCTCTTTGCAGACGAATTTAAAAAAAATCATACAATTAGGGCACACAACTGACATTTTTGAAACCTGAAGTTCTGTCATTAATGCCCCCTTAAGTATCATCGAGTTGTCGGTTGTCGCTTTTCCGCGCCAATTACTTTTTTATAAATTTACGGTGGCTCGATCTTGTAAAAAAAATCCGGCTTATAACATTAACAAGCTACAAGAAGTATTCCAAATCTCATCATCAAAAGTGTTTTTGCTAGGTTGACAAAAGAAAATCGTCTTATTTCATTGCACTTTGATCTCAAACCTTTCGGATTTCACAGGGTGTCAAAGTTGAAGATGTCAATTTCTATCTGTCAATATATCAGATTGGTGTAGGATGTTTTACATAGAAAATATTGGCTGGAATCGAAAAAATGTAAAACTACACACGGTATTGCATCCAGAAAAACAAACTTGATCAGCTAAAGTTTTTCTGGTTATTAACCCTACATATACTACATACCTACTTCTCTGTCGGAATCGGAAATAATGCAGTTCACTAAAACGAGATCGTGTCTGAGCTATTTTTTAAATTTCTACTGCTTTCAAAATAGGTAACTTTTTATATATTCGTCCGCTAGTAGGAGGCAGAGAGTTCCAGAAGGTAAGCAGTGCGCCACCAAAAAGAAACCCTATATTTAGAGGTCCTCTGGAACTTTACCACATACGGATGGGATGCCCGTGAGGTTCTCAAATAACTTACTGCATCAGATGAACAATGTGATCACACAATTTTTCCGAACATAAAGACGTTGTTACAAATTTTCATAAGATTGCCCCTAACCACAGCGACATCGGAGAGGTCTTTCTACAGATTGAAATTTTTGAAAACTTATTTGAGAAATTCAACGGGAGACAACCGATTGAATGCACTGGCAATGTTATATACATATGTGTTATATACATATGTTATGTACATATAAATAAATACAGTGTGTCCCAGATTCGCTTCTCTATACAGGTATCTCGGCTCCTATAATACCTACAGCAAAGGTTAAATGGGGAAAGTTTTAGAGGAAGCTAAGTGCATTCAATAATCGGCTTCAGAATAACGATCGCTCAATTAGATTTGGAAAAATCGGCGAAAAACCGAAAATGACGGATTTCGTTTTCTGCCAGTTAACCCGAAACAGTTAATTTGACAGCTGTCAAAATGTGACATTATTCAGACACTTTTTCAAGACCAATGAGATAGCGTGCATGACAGGTCTCAATCGTCTTTTGTTATCCCGCAACCTGCCTCAACTTCCATTTTTCTTATGGCCGCCATATTGGATTTTACGATTTTTGAAAAAAGCGTAAAATTTCCAGTCTAGTGATGTCTCACAAGTGGATAAAAGATTTGAGTATCATCGAAAAATCACACTTCGTAAAGTTAATGTCTGGCCAACGATTCTGAGGCTACGGGGCATCGGTGAAGGAAATGCAGTTGTAAAAAAATGGCGACTTTATTCATAAACTACTTACCCAGCTGCATGCGGAACTTTTCGGACGTATGATATCGTATTGCAACTCGTACACGAAAATCGACAATGACCAAACCACCGCCACTGGATATTTCAATGTAAGTCGATATTTCAAGATGGAAGGATAAAATTACGGGTATCCTGGGCAATAGCGAAACGTAAGCCCCATGCCAACCGCATGGTTCCCTATGGCAACGGCATTCCAAAATCTCCACCAATCACGTTCATCCAGGCCGGATGTTTGCCAAATTGACGAAAGCTAATGGTATGTTTAGAAAATGTTTTCTTTTGAGAATAGACAGAATAGACCTATCTCGCATAAATAGAAAAAGAGAGCTAAATTGTGATAAATACAAGTTAGAAAGTAATAAAAGATGACATGCGCGCACAACTTATGGCTACAGTGTAGCCAGATTGTATTGTTGCAGAACAAATATAGACAATACAAATCGAACATTATAACATTGAAGAAGTGATATTTTAGTGTCAAGTGTTTTACAACGCCTCAAATCAGACAAAGGAAGAGCTTTAAAGTGTATGTAAACATCGTTTGCACTTTTATTTTATGATAAATAATAGGTCAAAAAACCATTCAGAGCGAATTTCATTGGTTGAAAACAGTCAGAAACAGTCAGAAAACTAGTTTCAACCAATGAAATTCACTCTGACTGGTTTGTGATTTCTGCAGAAACAGACCTATTATTTATCATAAAATAAAAGTGCAAACGATGTTTACATACACTTCAAAGCTCTACCTTTCTCTAATTTGAGGCGTTGTAAAACACTTGACACTAAAATATCACTTCTTCAATGTTATAATGTTCGATTTGTATTGTCTACATTTGTTCTGCAACAATACAATCTGGCTACACTGTAGCCACGAGTTGCGCGCGCATGTCATCTTTTATTACTTTCTAACTTGTATTCATTACAATTTAGCTCTCTTTTTCTATTTATGAGAAATAGGTCTATTCTTTCTATTCTCAAAAGAAAACATTTTCTAAGCTGGAAATTTTATGCTTTTTTCAAAAATCGAATAATCCAATATGGCGGCCATAAGAAAAATGGAAGTTGAGGCAGGTTGCGGGATAACAAAAGACGCTTGAGACCTGTCATGTACGCTATCTCATTGGTCTTGAAAAAGTGTCTGAATAATGTCACATTTTGACAGCTGTCAAATTAACCGTTTCGGGTTAACTGGCAGAAACCGAAATCCGTCATTTTCGGTTTTTCGCCGATATTTCCAAATCTAATTGAGCGATCGTTATTCTGAAGCCGATTATTGAATGCACTTAGCTTCCTCTAAAACTTTTCCCATTTAACCTTTGCTGTAGGTATTATAGGAGCCGAGATCCCTGTATAGAGAAGCGAATCTGGGACACACTGTATATACAGGGTATTCATTTTAAAACTCACCACCCCTATTATCTCGGAGTTGAAAAGTTTTTGAGAAAATTCCTCAAATACTTCAACTATAATTTGAGGGGGATGACTTTTTATGCAAACTTCACCTCTCCCTTTCAGCCCCCCAATCCCCAGAGTCATCTCCTAGAAAATCTTAAATGGGAAGGGGGGTTAAGTGATACATCATTTTGGAGGGTTTTTAATTCCATACATTTTGGTACTAAATTTTAATCCTTAGGTTCAACTGTTTTGGAAATATTGACAGTTGAAAATTGACTTTTTTGCTACTTTGACAGGCTGTAAAACCTAAACGGTTAATTTTAGAGGAAAACCAATCTTACGTTCTTGTCTTGGATTTCCATAAACTATCATTTGACACCAACTTTCAATTTAACCAGAGAATAAATTTTTAGCGAGAATTTTTGATCATGGATTAATGTATCACTTGACCCCCCTTCCCATTTAAGATTTTCGAGGAGGTAGCTCTGGTGGCTAGGGGGTTGAGAGGGGGGAGGTGAATTTTACATAAAAACTCATCCCCCTCTAAATTATAGTTGACGTGTTTCAGGGATTTTTCTGAAAATTTTCAACTCCGAGATAATAGGGGTGGTAAGTTTTAAAATGAACACCCTGTAGATTTGTCTTGCGACGAAATAAAAAAAAACAAATCTCAACAAGACTACCATCAAATATCCCTTGATGGAACAAAAATTTATTTGCTGAGATGGCTAAAAGTAAAAGAAGACTGAATCTGGTAATTTAATAAAATTCAGTTTTTTATTTCTCTTTTATATTTGCATTATTTTTCTTTGTTTTTGAGTAATACATTTTGTGTTTAAGTTTTCTCCTTTTCTCCAAGTGCTAGTCGTTGCGTTCCTTTTTGTTATATTTTTGTCAAATCATTTTTAGTTCTTTCATTCAATAAAAAAATATGTATCCATTTATTCCTTTAATTTTTTCTTCATGGCCCTCCTCAAACAAAATGTCTGGCTGCGGCACTGAGGCCGTGTCAAATGGAAAATTCTTCCAGCATGGGCTATTTTGTTCGAGATCTTAAGCCACTCTGAGTGTTATGAACATTAAAATCCCCCAAAAGTATAATCTCGGAGTTCGGGTGACCCTTCTGGATATAATCAAATGAATTTGTCAAATTTTCAAAAGCTCTTAACTGAGTCATTGGCTGGAAGAACGCAACAAACAAACTTAACCATGTTCGTAGCATAAATCTTTAGCCAAATCACATCGTGATCAGGTGATTCGAGATCATTCTCTCTGTGGCAAGAGAGCTCACTGTGAGAAAAGACTGCGAAATCGCGTATGTAGTTCATAGCCGGGATATAGGAGATGGACTGGGTTGACAAAAAGTTTTACTTGCGTCTCTGTTACGACCAGGTATTTTGTGCTCAAGATGTTGGTGCACTGAGTTTAAGTTGGCGTTAATACCTCTGATGTTAGAAAATTTAATTGTGAACCAAGTCAGTGAGGATAAAAAATGGAAAAGAAGGATAAAATTGAAGGCGACAAAGGGATAGAGTGTTGAAAATCGAAAGTCATGCTCCAGGTCCAGATAATTCTAATCGAATTTACAGGACCAGAATGGAAGCGAGGGGTGGTACTGGCTCGGTTGGAGAAAAGCTCTTCTCCCATTCCAAGTGATGAAAGATGATAAAAGAAGGTGGTCAGAGGTGACCGGATAGAACAGGTAGGAGAAGAAGAGGAAGCACTCTAAAGGTTAGGTGAAGGAAAGAGTACTTCAGCTAGGGTAACTCGGTGTCGCTAGGCCCGGTATTCATAGACGGGTGCTTGGCTCAAGCTCTGATTTTTGACAGTTGTGAGCATCGTTCCGAGGAAACGTAAATATGGCGTCAAGTCGTACTTGAGCCAAGACGCAACGTTGAGCATCGACTATGAATACGGGCCTGGGCCCGTATTCACTAGATGGGAACCCCGGAGTTTATTGCGCTTTGATCTCAAACTTTCCGATGTCACAGGGTACGACAGCTGAAAATTTCAATTTTCATCTTCTGAAAATTTCTTTGATTTGCTCTTCTACATATTGCTTTGTTCGGCATTTTTCCTCCAGGAATTTGGGACGTTGGAAAAGATTCATTAGAACAGGGTTTGTGATTTTATTAGAGTAGTGATATTTTTGGCGAACAAACTTGTTTAAATAAAAAATAATTTAAAGACAAGCCATAAATTATATGTAATAAAACTAATAAATATTCCTAGATTGATTAAAATTTGTTATTGAGACACTAAGATACCGTCATTTTAATGTTTGGGAATAAATTTTCCAATTTTCTTTCCAGTGCTGATGGTAACTACGAAGTCAGGTATAAATCAAACGTACTTATATATCCCAACGGGGAAGTATTATGGGTACCGCCTGCAATCTATCAGGTAAATTACAAAAATTATCTATATCTAGAATGAAAACTTTAGTCGACAATAATTATTGTTTAAGAAACCGTCATTTTCGGACTAAATTTGAAAACACATCAACTTTCCATGTTAAGGCATATTATACGAGATTTATGTACCTATTAAAAATTATAATAGCACAACATATCCACAAATAAATTTCTTTCTCATGAAAACGAGTTTCTATTGAACAATACTATAGTAATAATATAGAGACAGGACTACGCTACTAGACACATAGGCTTTAATGGGACCAGTTGACTGATACCCATTTCACTGCAGGGTAGTCACCGTGGATCATTGAGCATCCCTGCATGTTATTAATTCGTGCAACTTCAGTAGCTCGGCTATAGTCGGCTTTGGTAACACTGCCTCGATTCTCCTAAACCGGGTAAAAGCTAATTCGTCTCATCACTCCCTATGTCTAGTCGGTTGGTCCGGTCTGTATATTTATACGTCATAGATAAAGTTTGTTTTGTTTCAGAGTTCATGTACAATAGATGTAACATATTTTCCGTTTGACCAGCAAAAGTGTATAATGAAATTCGGTTCCTGGACTTTTAACGGTGATCAAGTGTCTTTAGCCCTGTATAACAATAAAGAGTTTGTAGATTTGTCAGATTATTGGAAATCGGGTACCTGGGACATTATCGAAGTACCCGCCTACCTCAACATTTACGAAGGAGACCATCCCACCGAAACAGATATCACATTTTATATAATAATTCGAAGAAAGACTTTATTTTACACGGTGAATTTAATTCTCCCTACGGTTCTCATTTCATTTTTATGTGTTCTAGTTTTCTACTTGCCTGCTGAAGCTGGCGAAAAGGTGAGTAAATCTAGGATGTACCTATTTTTGTGTGCTCCCCTTTTTGGCATAATTATCCGCCTTTCTATCAATGAAAATCTCCGAGAGAATCCCTCACGGGTTGTTCGCTACCAAACATTGCACCAAGTCGTTTTTATAGATGTGCAACTACCATGAAATCTAGAAGTCAAATGTGGACAAATTGGTACCCAGTTTTCACTGCTGGTTCTGGCTGTCGCTGTAGATCCTATATACACTACACTGATTAGGTGTAAGAACACTGAAACGCGTCTGTAGTTGGATTTCAGCGGAAACTGAATACTAATTTCCATGATTGGATGTTGGTCTATATATTATCAGTACCCACTTGATTACTAGGATATTCTATATGTGGCATGGCTTCTAAATCTTTACACATGTTGAAATAGAAGGTCAGATTGAATGTCAATTTTGGGCGAAAATTAACGCCGCAGCAGTATTACTAATAAATTCCCACATGCGCATGCCCAGATTTTAAAATAACGCAATTTCAATTACCCTTTGTGCTTGTTCGCCCCTAATACCTCTCTTATATGTTTAGACACAAATATATCAGCAAGATAATTGAAAATATGTAAAACGTTTTTTTCCAGGTTACATTAGGAATTAGTATTTTACTATCACTGGTTGTATTTTTGTTACTGGTATCGAAAATCCTGCCACCGACGTCGTTGGTATTGCCACTGATAGCCAAATACCTTCTTTTCACGTTCATTATGAACACTGTTAGTATACTTGTTACAGTAGTTATTATTAATTGGAACTTCAGGGGTCCTAGAACACATCGGTAAGCATTCCTCTTGACATTGATTTTTATGTCCACTTTTCTTTATTATATTATCCATAAAAGTATATTGATTTTATTACAGAATGCCATCGTGGATTCGGTTCGTGTTTCTAAACTATTTACCAGCGATGATGCTCATGAAGCGCCCTCGAAAAACGAGATTACGTTGGATGATGGAAATGCCTGGAATGGGAGTTCCTCCACATCCTTACGGTGTACCTGGAGACATTCCCAAACACATAAGGTAAATGTATCCATTTATATACAGTTCTTACGATCTTACTCACTATCGGAATACGAACACTTTACATTGAAATCAACTTTGCAAGGTTTCTGTTTATAGTCCAGGAGCCAGTGAATTTTCTTGGTACTTTATTTCCCAGTCGATGTATATGTATAAATTAGTATTTTCTACTACTGACACTTATCAGCAATTTTCAGGTTTGGAACATTTTGCGATGGGTTCCAAAAAAAAAAAAAAAAAAAACAAACGAGTGGACTTATTTTTTTCGTCGTAAATCTTTTAATTTTACTGAAGTAGAATATGAAACCCACGAGGGAAACTAAATTTGGCTGAAAATTTGCGGATCAAATTCGGATTCCTAACCATTATCTTTACATGCTCGAAGCTTAACCTATAAATTGACACACTATCATGTCGCTTTAGGCGATTCGAATCAGCGGACAATCCAAGATGGTGACGTGGCCCGAAATCAAATCAAATCAAATCAAAAAATGCTTTATTGTCTAAGAACAAAATTCTCGTTGACAAAGCTGTAAAAGGGAAAAAGTATACAAAAATAATTCCAGGGCCATACAATACCAAGTTTAAAATAATTAACATAAAAATACAATACAAGGTCAGACTAAAACAATAAAATTATTAAAACAGTCATTAAACAAATGTAAACACACATTGCCTCTATATAAATGTGTGTAATTTCTACCTGTTTCACAGTTTAATTTGATGAATTTTGATTTATTTCAATTTCCTTTAATGCTTTGTAGCTAAAATCGAGTTACTTGGAATATTTTTCCTACCATCAAAATACCTGGGCAACAGGTACAAAACGGACCCCCAGTAGGTAAAAAGACCTGAATATAAGTGCTATATATACACTGTGATGGCAAAAACTCACTAAACACTGTTTGTAGTTCACTTTAAATACCTACATAAATGGCATCCTTAAACATGCCTTGCATATCTCGACATTTATGACAAATATAAGGTGGTTCAGAGGCAAATGAATGCCAAAAACAAAAATTAAATAATTCACAGTAGGTAACGCCAAAAGTGAAAAAAATTATAAAAAACGTTCTCAAACTGATAAGAACACGTTAGAAATTCACCGAAAATACACAGTCTCTTATGGACGTTTGCTATACCACGGCGCCATCTTGACTGTTGAATAATTGACAGTACGTCAAATATGCTGTCAAGTTGTATTCCAAAATGGCCGCCTGTAGACAGACAAAAGGATCTAACGGTCGATTTACTAGTTTCAAAATGTGAAATAAATGCGATGAACTTTTCAAAAACGCGAATTTTAGACCAAATAGTGGGAAGAGTTGTCGGAAGAACTAACAACTGGGCCTTAGTCAAGGTTGTTTGAGAGACGTAGGTTGCCTGATAACTTTATGGCGTCATCTGGAGGACCTCAACCTTTGAATATAAAACTACAGGAAGGAGCATAACTTCGAATCTGCGCGACCACAATATGTGGAGGTTGCATATGGCCGGCTAGTGTTTCCGGTTTGGCATTGGCGTATATTTACTTAAATATGATTGTCAACAATATGACTCACTCTTTTCGCACTAATCCCAGTGCTTATTATCACTTGAAACCGCTAAAATCCATTATACATCCACTTGAATGAGGGACACAGCGAACCACCAAAACAAATGATGAGTCATAATTGGAGGCTCAATATGGCGGTTTCCGTCCCTGCGTTGTCTGTAGTGACAGATAGAAAACGCTCCTTCCTGTAGTTTTATATTCAAAGACCTCAACATAATGCAAATCTCCATAAGGCACCCCAGACGCGTCATTAGGTTACCCGTTACCAGGCAACCTATGAACTTTAGGAACCTTGGGTCTTAGTGATCTTCAGTCTAGTTTTTTCAAGAATTTTCGAAAAGGAGAAGGCAGAGCTGGATACAAGCATTCAATCGGAAAGATATAACCGAGATCAAACTGAAATACGTATATCAGAGTTTACAACAAACATTTTGTAACAGGTATAGAAATGGGTTGCTCTGAATAAGCCTTATTTTTCCCTCATATTTAATTGCAGTGTCTTTATTTCCATTTTCTAAATTCAATAAGTATTTACTTTTGTTAGAACAAGCCATATTTTTACTTGAACAGTTCTTAGAATCAACCATTACCCACAAAAAAAAAGCAAACTTTTGTTCTGTTCTACACCTACGATCACGTCGATCACTACACTTTTATAACTTTCACCTATTTTAACTTTTTGTGTGTCTACAGGCGGCCATATATGATCACGTGTTCTGGATTGCCTAATTATTAACAATAAGTCTGGCTGATGAACGAAATTGGCAAATGAGTTTCGCGGCATCTTCTAACTTGCAAACATAGAAAATTATTTTTCTTATTTTTCCTGTTCGAACCGAATTGAACGCACCTGATAAGCATTAGACGAGTCTTCCAAGGCTTTAGGGGTTTCCGATAATAGCCAGAATGTATTTAAACATATTGTTATATTGCGAACTATTATCTGACAAACTTTCAGAACTATCAAAAACGCATTTGCCATGCTTACATATCAGGCAAACTGTTTGTCCACTTAACTTGAAGAAAATATTGCTTAGAATCAATCACTGAAGAATGAGAGGGAAAATTAGTAGGTACCAAAAAAATTCTCTAATGAATTTTGATTAATTAGAAACTACCTATTAATTAGAAGCATTTTTTGTATCGTGTAATTAGTGTAGTATGAAGCGGCAGCATTATTGTATATTTCATAGTTCTCACGGAAATTTGTAGCTTGGGATTGTTTCATTAAGTTAAATATTTATTATTTATTATGAAATTTCAAAGACATAGATAAGTGACGACCGAAGTTATAACGAAGCCCTTTCAAATAAACACCAAAATAATTGTAAACTCGAAAGGAACCTTTTGAATATTTATCAGTGTTTCTGAAAAATAAAGAAACTCAAAGTTTTTCTAATATCTAATAATAAATAATAATTAATTAGCAAGAAATCTATTATTATACTATTTAGGTCAGTTTACATTAAATACGACACACGTGGCAATGATTGGCACCTCAGGGAAAGTTTTCAATATATTCTATCCCAAATTTAGGTAAAGTTGAATTTAGCTTTTGCTTGATAATCATGGTAAGCCTAAGTTCGAATTATTTGAAAAAGAAGAAATTTCACGTTTTTCGAATGATGAACACTACATCAGTCGCTACCCAGATGGCAATTTTACATGTACCTAAATTCTTTCTATTATTTTGTTTTTAGTCCCTAGCTCTATTATTTCTAATTTTTCTGTTGTTTTGTGCAATGACCCAATACCGAGTATGAAAATTTTCTATTCTATTCCCACTGTCGTCGGTTGTGCATTTTCTGACGATTATATAAACCAATTCTGAAGCCGCACACTCTTCCAGTTCCACATCTCGGTATCGTGTCTGCGTCGCTGTTCTTCAAAAGTTTGTGGTCCGTCGTGGACTACTCGACGCCATGAGGGCCTATAATTGACCGTCGTCTCCCAGTTGCTGGTATCGATGCGGCACTTTGCCATAATTTTCTCAAGAACATCTTTGTAGCGTTTTCGTTGACCTCCTTGATTTCGTCTTCCGCCTTTCAGTTGACTGTAGAGAATCTGTCGGGTTTCAGGTATGCGGACGAGGTTACCTGTCCAGTGAAGTTGGTGCCTAATTTCGAGGCCTTTCATGCTAGTTATTTTGGCCTCCTCTATAACACTAATATTCATTCGTCGGTCCTGCCATTTAATCCGTAAGATCTTTCTTAGGCAGCGCTGGTGGTATTTTTCTAGGCTTCTAGTCTTCTGTAGGTGGTCCATGTTTCGCAGCCATAGGTATCTTAAGTTTTGGTATTACAACAGCACGCGAAGTTTGGTCTCCGCGCTGATGTCGTGTTGAAGACTCCCTCTAGAAGTCGCCCGAACACCGCGCTAGCACACTAAGCAGCAATGTTGAATGTCAGCGTCATTGGTTGCATTCGCTGACAGATGGCTCCCAAGGTATGAGTAGTGTTCTACCTTCTGCAAAGAATGGTAATTTATAGTTATATTTGGGGCTTGGGGATAAGTATCCGGTGCAGAATCTGTGTCTTGTTAAAGTTGACCTCTAGGCTGATTCTCCTATATGCCTGGTTGAATGCATTGATAACTGCCTGAAGATCTTCCGCTGTATTGGCCATCACGATTGAGCATACTGCTCTTGGTCTACTTCTTACTTTTACCCTTTCCTCGAAGCACCACTCTTTTAGGGAAATCAAGAAATGCGTTATTTCCAATTTAAACAAAATCTATTTTTATTTCTCATAATTTGTAGTGTAGTGTCTGGCTACAAATAACACACCGATCGATGTAATATTAAGCTTGGTTTATTAACAGGTTCTTTTTAACGCTACTTTTGCTATCACAGACGGAGGTTCTCTTATACGGTAATATCACAGTTCATGGTAAGGGCCGACTGGCACCCTAGCGGGTTGGCGTAGGATTCTAGCAGTCGGTCCAACAGTGTTGCCGGTCCTGTTCGGCTTCCCCAGCTGCAGGGATATCTCATGTAGTTTACAAAAAAAAATCTACTTTTTTGAAGCTACATAAAAAATTATTAGGTACGTGCTGTGCAACGAGTACCGAGGAGCCAACGCTTTTTCAAAAATTAATCATCGTCTATCCTTTTTCGGAAAAATTGCGCCCCCTGCTAAACATTCACAGCGGCGTTATCAAAATAATTGGAAATCCTAGATTCTTAATAAACCTTAACTTATAACAATAATTTTATTTCATATACTTTTCAAAGTTCAAACAACGATGTTATCATCCGCACATACCGAAGTTTATTTATCGATGTCGTCGATACTGTCGTCTTGGCTCGTAATCTGTTTAGGCTGAATAAGCCGCCATCAAGTCAGTACCGGATTTCCACTCTTAACGCCAGGGAGCCTCGACTAGGTTGAAATATGGGTCCTATAAATAAGAAAAATAATGTGGGTGCAATAACCCAGCCCTGTTTAATGCCTGTAGTTATTTGCACTGAAAATCACGTCAGCTACCTCGGTTGGGTCGAAGTCTAAAGCCACACTGTGTCTCTGGGAGGTTATGTTGGCAAGTTGGGATTAGACGCTTTTCTCTGGTGCTGCAATATCGATGGTGAATCTCTTTAATTCACGTGCCACCATTGCTGTTCTCCGATGTGGTTTGTATTTGTGTTGGTATCCATAAGTGTACGAATATTCCACGTGGCTAGATTGAGTTTATTTTTCTTTGTTTTGTTTCGGCCGCATGGCGTACACCCTCTCCAGTTGTTGGCTGACTATGTTTAGGGCACCAGGGTAAGCAGAGCGGATCCTAAATAGGGCTGCTCATTCACGCATGCAGCACATGTGTCCTAGAATAGAAGATGCCTGTGCGTGACTTTTATTACTGTGGAAATACTGATGCACAGTTAGCAGTCCCACGTTCCCTAAATTTGAGTTCTCATCCAATGGCATAGAAACTACGAAGATTGGGTCTCTCGAGCTCAGGGCTCGCTGATTGCACGATCAACAATTAAACTCGAATCGTATGGGCGATGGGGGCCACATTCCTACGCCTATTGTGGAAATGTACAGTCCGCCCAGGATACACATCAAGGGAAGCAATAAAAGTTCGGGAACAACTGAAGCAGACAATAAGAGCTTTTCTACAATGTTGTCAGATTTCGTTGAAGAAAATTTATATTTGCTGCTCAGGCTTTTGATGATGAATTCCGAAATGAAGAAAGTGCGTTATTCCCAGATATTTGAAGATTTTGGGGCTATCATCTGGGGCATGTGGGATGATGGAAATCCTCAGACGATTGTTTTTGACGTCGCTGAATTTGAATTTTCGCAATTTCACTGCGTCTAGGGACGATTCGTATTGCTGAAGACGGTTTGGTTTGAGTTTGTAGGGGGCGGGTTTTTGAGAATTGGGTCTATTTGGGTAATTGGGATCTGTGTTTTGGTGAGTTGAAAGTCAAATAATATAAATACCTAAGTTATTTGTTTAGAATCCAAATTAACATATAAAAATGAAATCGTTGTATTATTTTCGAAATATTTAAAATTACATGGTTGGTATTGTTATTTATGAACCATTCGGTATGCGACGTTGCGACATATTCAAGTTTTTCCTAAGGTGGGTAAATAATTGTCCATACTGACAACACTACATGGGTGTAGTTCCTCAACCCCCTATAGGGCTTGAAATAACAGAGATAGCCCTTATAAAAGCGTCAACGCTTACGACCATCCGCAGCAAACTTCTAATTATGCCTGACATTCAATATGATCGCTTCCTGGCAAATTCATCTTACTTTGTATTAGCAATTAGCTATCTGACGCCACATGCCGTTAAGCTACTTTGTTATTAAATCTTCTTGGAGTGTTATTTCTTAAAAATACGTCTTTTGCCCTTTGGGATGACGCGTTCCTGTCATTTTTGCGGTAGGCGACAACAACGTAGGTAAAAGCAATTTGATGAAGTGACACGTTAGTGATAATGGGGAGAAAGACCGTATAGAGGATCGCAATAATTTATTAATCTGATGTTGGGTAATATTTTATAAAAAAGTCCGATTCAATGCCATACATGGGCTTGTACGATTTGACGACAGATAAATATAATCAAAGATTGATAGAGGTCACAGAGGGAGCATATTCTGACGTAGATACTTTTTTATCCCACTTAGCAAATAACATTTCGTCGCATTGTTTCAAGGTTACATTCATCACGTCCCCAAATAATAACATCACAGCTGCATTCACGAATAAACATTCTTGTTCCGAAACTATGACGTATGAGTTTCGTTTATTTATACTGCTAAGAACACATTCTACATAATAGTTATTTATGTCATTAGGCCAAGAAGTGCGTCTTTTATGCTCAAGGTTTGAGCGAAGAACAAAAAACCTACAGGACCAAATGGCATACCTACAACCACGGCCATCTTTACTTATCAGGCCATGAAATAGGAAATCGTGCAACACCATCGCATAGTTGTCTAATAATTCATTGGAGTGTTCGACAGGCTCGCATGCGGGCTTGTATAGGTACCTCTTGATTTTTCTTGATTTTTCTCGTGCAATTTTACATTTTCATCATATCCAGTTACTTCAGTGTTGATGAAAACCGTGTATACCTATTTATTATTATTTGAGAAAAATAGGGTGTAGTTTCCAGTGTTTAGCTATTTAGAAAAATGAAGTTTATAGGTTTAGTTTCATATCTAGGTCAATGTGTGTGAAAAAGAAAGAATTGGTCTAGACCATTTTTTAGCGTTTCGTTTACTGATTTGGTAAGCTTCATAATAACTTTTCTTCTTCTTGGTCATGCCTAAGACATGTTCTTTTCCCGGGTGTATGGCCAATTATAACAGAACTTTAAAAGGGGGACAATCTATGATATCAACTTTTGGCTTTCCAAACTGACTAGTGCCCCATCCAATATTCTGTGGTGTGTGGATTCGTTTTCAAGAAACTGATATCATTACAAAGGATATTTTTTTATTGCTCGATGGAGACTGTGAAGAAAATTCCAATAAAAACTAAACTCAAACTTGGTGCTGTTGCATCTAATTTTCCCAATTTACCACCTTATTTATCAAAAAAATGCCACTTTCTAGAAGTCCAGACCAACGAGAAAGTAAAAAGAAAGATCTTCATAATAAGTTGACTGATCACTTTGAAAAATCACATTTAATTAATGAGTTTGAGGACTTAATTTCAAATTATTTTGATAGAATTAACATTTCTGATTCTTGGACAATGAAATTAGAAAATGGACGGAATAATATTTACTTTGATATTCTTGATTTAACTGTGGCTCCAATAAATATTCATATTGAGATTTCTGTATTAGATACAAATACCTATGTAGGTATATTAAATTTTGAAAATAAATTAACATTAAATGATTCAAACTGGATTTTACCTTTCGATCTGAAATTAAGTAGATGGTCACAACTAGAGAGTTCTTTATTTCTTAATTATAACCACTTTTATAGAATCAAATATTAAAACCTTTAAATATCTTGGAATAATATTGGACCTCTATCTTATACTTGGCAACAGTGCATCGGCAAGCTGTTCAGGGCCTGATAAGTAAAGATGGCCCGTGCAACAACACTTTATATTCAAGGTATTGCAATATTCCTTTTCACAACTGATCACGATTTTTTCATCTATTTTCGGGAAAATAAAAGGCTGTCACTATAATTGAATAGATATGTCAAATTTGTTTACTTTATGTCAAACATTTATTATTACGTACTACAAGATGCATGATGATATAGCTCATACCACCTTTCCTTATGTTCTGTTGTAGTTCCGTAGAATCGCAAAGCAAAGTGGAGGTGATGGAATTGTCTGATCTACACCATCATCCGAACTGCAAAGTAAACAGAAAAACAAACGCCGACAGTGGCGTAGCAGTTGGTGCGGAGAGTTGTAGGAGAGAGAGCGAAAGTTCCGACTCGATCTTACTTTCCCCGGAGGTTTCGAAAGCGACAGAGGCAGTAGAATTTATTGCCGAACATTTACGCAACGAAGATTTGTACATACAGGTAGGTTTCTTATTTTATATATCCAAACCCAGAATATTCTATACCTACCAGATGTCAAATTGCCGTTACTGTACTGGTGGGTAGCCCTGCCATCCTATTTAAAGTCTATGTTATTGGACGCCGTTTTTTCAGTCCGGGAGTTGAAGCTTTTTTTTGGCATAGTTTATCACGTGGAGTGATCATGGCTTAAATATAGAGTGACTTGAAGATGAAGTCACAAGTCATGCACAGTGTGGGATGTCACTGCTCTCTACAGCCGATTTTTTTTTTACCAAGATTCTCTTCAACTTCTTTCTATGGCCGAAGTAACCCTATTCGACACACCGTGTAGCTTCAGTCCAGGTAGAGTGGACATGATCAGACAAGACAAATGCAGAAAAATCGAAAGAGCGATACAAACCCTTGTTTATGGCCTGTATAGAACTTGTTAACCCGTTTTTTTTATATTGGTCCGCTCACAAAGCGGTACCATCAGCTGGAGAAATTAAGTGACGATTAACCCTCTAGCCAGATCGTCAGAACATCTCCCATGGTAATAGTGATAGAATAACGATAAGTCGATCACCGTGCGTCTATATTCGACAGATTGCAATGAAACGGTGAGAGTTGTATTATGGAAGTAAAGAAGTTTTTTGGACGAAACAAAAACCTTATTTTTAGAAGCGGTTCTGGCGACCGAAGATGTGTACATGGTATGCCAAGACAAGTTAGTCTATGCGATAACCCCAAGAAGAGATATAATGAGGGGATTGATAGAAAGGTTTTGTTTCGACATCCTTAAAACTGGGTTATCATTGGCGGAAGATCATTTATTTGAGAATACTGTTGCTACTTGAGTTTCGGAAGCATTCAATTTGACTAGGTTGTTGAGGCCCCAGTAGGTTCTGGGACATCAAAAACCTGGGGCCTGTTCTCAGGCGAGGCTTGTGGAAGTGGCTGCCGTAAGCCGTTTGTCAGAAGAGAAAGATGCCATCAAGCGTTCGCAAAGCTCTATATAGGGTTTCTTGTCACATTTTTTATCAAATCATTTATAAAAATGTGGAACAGTGTTAGGGACAGAATGACGCCTTGGGAAACGCCGGCATTTATAGGCAGCTTATCAGAAGAAACACCATCGACCATCATCTGCCTTCCAAAAAGTTCTCTAGCCAATAGCAAAATTCGTTGAGAAGACCATACGATGGAAGTTTGCTGAGGAGGCATTTGTGCCACACCTGATCAAAAGCCTTGGATATATCCAAGGCTACAATTCTGGATTCGCCATGTTTTTCGAGAGTCGAGTTTCAAATATGACTGACGTACGCCAGCAGATTGCGTTTATCTTTTAGAACGTAACCCGTACTGTTTTTCAGAGATGAGCTTATTAACTCCGAGGTATTCAATCAGTTCAGGGTCGACTGCCTTTGCCACTGCTTTCGGAAGTGCGGATATGAGTGAGATGGGACGATTATTACTCGGAAGAGTTTTCTTGTCCTTTTTCGGGTCGGGCTGGACTTGCACATTTCCAGATAGACGGGAAAAGGCCTCGACTGTAAGAGAGTCAAAACAGTTTCCAAGGAACTGAAGCCAATTCTTGTGCGCAAATTTTGTTGGAATGCTGTCGGGACGACAAGATTTCTCATTCCCAGTATCAAGTTGTAGAAAAATTTTCCTAATAGTTTAAGATCTAAATAGAACGTTGTCCATGTAAGAACCAATGCGTGGCAGTACCTGTGGCGCTTTACCATTGTTTTATTTCGTGGAATTGGATGCAAATTCTTTGGCAAAGAGGTCTGCTTTTTCCTTTGACGATACTTCAATGGAATTATTGTCCTTAACTAAAGGTGGAAAGGAAGAAGATATGAAATTTTTCTTATGGTCTTGGCAAGGGACCAAAAAGACCTTGGTCCACTAGACCAGTTCAACCCGAAAAAGCCTGTGAGATCATAACCGGAGGAAAGCAGTATCAGTGCGCCAAGTTTATTCTCTATATTTGTAGGAGCCGTACTTCGGTTTGCTATTCAAGCTTAGCAGACCTCGATCTGATATCCAGGTTTCCACAAGTGGTTTGCTCACAAACCACTTGTAGCTTGTGAGCACAATATGGTGGTGATGATGCCTAGGAAATACTTAAAGAAGGCCTACAAATTACTTCAGACGCATTTGAGCAAGAATTGGTCTAGAACACGGATAAGACAAAAATCCTTTACCAGCTTCCTCCAAATACACCAGTTCCAGCTGTGATTATCAATAGAGCACTTTTAGAAAATATAAAATGTTTGCCGTATTTCGGTAGTCATGTTGGGGCAAATGTTTATTATATAGACGCAGAAATTCAACATTGACCTTAGCGCCGTATTTGGATATTTCTCAGATAAGGTGATTGACAACCACGACTTAAATGTTTAACCTGATTTACTGACTAGATAGCCGAACGAACAAACAGTATTCGTGAACAAATCAATTTCTCCACCGTTGGAACCCACGCTCATCCCCAAGACCAGCTTCGGTGGGCTGGTCATGTGGTTCGCATGCCAGACTCACGTTTCCTCAAGCAAATCATGTATTCTCAACTGTGGAACGGAATAGCTAACCCAATCAGGTAGCCAAATTTAACAAAGTTGTCCTCAAGAGAAACCAAAACATGTATAATCGATGTGGGCGACTAAGGCTACATCAGGTTTTGAATAAGCCATAAAGGCTCAAAGAATTTCGATCGACAAAGGCGAAATGCAATCGTGAAAACAACGAGAAATTTGTTCCAAAATATTTAATGGCTGGTACTGACTGGGAGTGCGATCAATGTGGCAGAAGTTGTGTGTCCAGAATTTCCGCAGGCCTATTCAGCTATCAAAGAACCCACAGATAATGGTGATGTCAAGAAACCTATATACTCGTTAGCGAATGAAGGCTTATGATGATGACTATTATTCATCATGATAATTCCGATATCTGGTTACAAAGATTTTGATCAGCTAGAAGGCCTGACTAGTGATTTCTGACCACATAACTAACCAATCCAAAATCAAAGCAAATGGACTGGCGTTGCGTGGTGTCATTTGAACTTTTGCTCCATCAGAAATCCTCACGAATTGTCAAAATAATGATATGATGAGATAAAGCAAAATTCGTAATGATCACTACTTAAATAGTAAGACCGTGAAATCTTGACCAAAGTCGTGTAATCTTATGAATAATCGTGAGATCTGGCAATGCTGGAACGCTAACAAGGGCGCCTAGTCGTATCACGCGATCATTGTTTTGACTGAATTTATCTCGAATTTGAATACACTTTAGTCTTATGGATTTTAGTGCTAATAAACCTATGATCGATTACTTTTAAGCAATATACAAATAAAAATGTCTTCTTCCTTTTCTATTTCTATTTTAATTAAATTGATGTGAGTACCATTTTTAGACTCGTGAAGACTGGAAATACGTGGCGATGGTAATAGACAGACTACAGTTGTACATGTTTTTCATTGTTACAACTGCTGGTACTGTCGGAATCTTGATGGACGCACCCCACATCTTCGAGTATGTTGATCAAGACAAGATCATAGAAATTTATCGAGGCAAATAAAAGGAGAAAAATAATTCGTGTCCAATCCAGAAACCAGGCTCTCAAATCATGTGGCTTCCATAAGCGAAACTCACAACAAAGGCCTATAGTTCTGTAAAATAGTGTACTGCGGCGACTGGCGGCAAAATTCCATTTATTGATAGGTTTACAAATAATCATTACTGATCACTATTTGATTTCCAAAATTTAATTTACTGTGTTGTCCGCGCGTGTGAAGTCGAAAACAATATTTTTATTTACTATATCGCCGATTGACAATCGATGAATGATTCTCCGTGAGTGCAAATTATTTAAAAAGGAAAAACAAACGTTGTTTTTTGTCGCTCTCAATAACATTTTATGGTCTTAAAAATGTTCTGATTTTATAGGACAAATTGCAAAAGCCATTTTTATACTTTTATATTTTATACGCTAAAAGATACGTAATGACGTAATGCGGAGTTTCACCATATTTGAATTTCATTGCTTTATTATTTTTAATCAGTTGTCTGAACCAAAAAAGAAATACCCTTGCTTTCAGTTGGCTTTAGAATGTCCTATTATTTCAATAAATAATTTTTGAAAATGCTGATTTTATACCACATATTTAAACGTACTGAAATGGCGCCACTGTATGACGTATACAGGGTGAATCTGAAAGTGAGTTTTTTTTTTTTTAACAGGGTATATATCTCGCCAAAATAAGTTGTTTGGCAAAAAATTGTTTATATAAAAAATTTAAGATAACGGAGGTACAGATATTTTAGGGTTATGTGCATTAAAAATCTAATTTCAATAATCTAAGATTTAGTAGAGAAAATATGATAAAAATTATCACAAAAATTGTTCAAAATTATTTTCATTTGTATGATGCTTCATTTCCCTCCTAAATTTTGTCTGTTTCACTTTAAAACGAAAATTGATAGGTTGAAAATGAAATTTTTTCTGATGGAATAATGCAACCGTGAGTACCTATTATGGAATAAGACTCATTATGCTGGACTAATAATGGCTTTTTTGCGGCTTTTTTTTTGAGAAAATGTGAACAAAGTGATTTATAGTGGAAGTCTCCTCTAACCTCAAAATAGCTGTACCTCTGTTATCTTAAATTTTTTATATAAACAATTTTCTGCCAAACAACTTATTTTGGTGAGATACATACTGTTAAAAAAAAAGCCTCACTTTCGGATTCACCCTGTATACATACCCCGACCAATAAGAATCGTTCACAATGGCTCTGACGCATATCTTTGTCTTACTCTGAGTCTGTCTGTCTAAGATCTGGAGAGTGACAATGATGAAATTCCTCATTCGTTATTTGCACCTTGTTCGTTTAACACGCTGGTCAACCTAATTTTATGTTGACACAAAATTTAAAAAACAATCTGTGAAATTAGAGTTTATATTAGGTCTGTTCCAACCGACATGAGAACCATTCTAGAACGGTAATTTCCATTCGATCAATTCATTTGTCAATTAGGATAAACGTTCAACTTATTGGAAAATAGGTGGGCAACTGGAAATTACCGTTCTAGAACGGTTCTCATGTCGGGTTTGAACAGACCTATTATTTATCAGCAGATGTTTGACAGTGCGACGTTGCCAAACTGAATGTCGTGATTTCTTAATACTAAAATGACGTCAGGGCATAGATTTTTTTTCAACACCACAAAAACTGTTGTTGTACAACTGAACGTACTGACAATTGAAAAATTACATTAATTTTATAACTGTAATCCAAAAAATACAACAAAAAACTATACCTACAATGCAAAGATAAAAACGAGGTTTCTAAAGGCAATCTTGCAAATCAACAATGGCAACGAAAATCTGACAACGTTCTAATTTGCAGTACAGGGTATGTGATTATATTTAAGCCCATACCTACATACAGCCTTTAATAATTAAGATTTAAAAAAAAATAGACACAAAACTTGACAGTTTTTTTCTTTATTTTCTTTTAACGTTATCAGAAGAAACAAAATCGCATCGGAAAATGAAAAAACGTAGACCCCTTCAACTTTTTTTTAATGGGACACCCTGTATATTATACGATAAAATTAAAGAGATTTTCTACCTGATTGCAAATCCATATGTACCTATCACATTTGCGTGAGCCATTTTTGATATATCTTAGCTTACTTTATAAATAAAATGCAAAAAAAATGTTATAAAGATTTGAATCTTATGACATCCTTATGAAATTTCTTTGCAAATTATTTATAATTTAAGCTAAGATATATCAAACATGTCTCACGCAAATATGATTAATATATATTTATTTGGAATCAGGAAGAAAAGATCTTTGATTTTATCGCATAATATACAGGGTGTTCCATTCAAAAAAGTTGAATTTGTTTTTCCATTTTCCGATGCGATTTTGTTTCTTGTGATAACGTTAAAAGGAAATATAGAAAAAAACTGTCAAGTTTTGTGTTTAAAATTTTTTTCTATCTCAAATAGTAAAGGCTGTAGGTATTGGCTTGAATATAATCAAATATCCTGTACATTATGGCTAGTTGTAGTGACTGACGTCATATTTGGTGGATTTTCGGCGGCGTTTGAAACGCTGATGAATTTATATTTTTTATTAAAAATTAACGGCAATTTAAATGTTTCCCAAAATAGTGTTAATATACTTGGTTTGGGTTCTAGAATAAGAAAAAAAAACGAAAAAAATCACTAAATCTCCCCATATGAAATGCTCACCATTTTAATATTTAAAAGATGATGAAAAAAATATATCCTAATGGCTGGTTTCGGTAATTGCATCTGCGAGCAAAATTTTACAGATGTCACGTGATTTGACACTTGAAAAAAAAAAAGTGATCACGTGACGTCCGTGAAAATTTGCACTTTTGGCTCGCAGATGCAATTCCCGAACCCAGCCACAGTGTGGCTCAAATTGGGTCTACATGTTTGGGAAAATTGAAACGGACTGAAGTTTTAGACAATTTTATTGGTGCATTTTCGTACAATATTTTGCTTTCCAAAAACCACTAGTTGCGGAGAAACAGTTGTTTCGTTATTTGGTATTGACCAATTGGAAGAAGCCATTTTTGTCGAAGATAATAATATTTATGGGTAGGTACACCTATTTATTAATACATTTTCCATTTTCCATTTTCAGCCGTTTTCTGTCCTTAGGATATAGGCCTTGTTCAAATTTGACCATTGTCTTCGGTTTTGCGCAACTCGGTACCAATTCAAGCCTGCAACCCTCTTTATATCGTCGTACCATCTTTGTTGGGGTCTTCCAACACTTCTCCTCCCTTCCCAAGGTCTCTATCTAGTGATATACCCGCTCCAGTTTTCTGTATGTCTGGCCACGTGTCCTGCCCATTGCCATTTTAGGGAACCAATTCTTTTTATTATGTCGGAGACTTTGGTTCTTTCCCTTATCCATGTATTTGTTTTGTGGTCTCTCAGGGACATTCCAAAAATTCGTCTTTCAATGGCTCTCTGATTTACTTCCAATTTGTGTTTAAGTCTTCTGGTTATCACCCAGGTCTCGCAGCTATACGTGACAACAGGCAGTATACACTCGTTATAGACTTTTGATTTTAAAGTCATTGGAATATTCATGCTGAAGATGTACTTTAACTTGCCGTAAGCCGCCCATCCCAGTCTAATTCTCCTATCAATTCCCAAGGTATATGTATGTTTCTGTCTTTTTTATTGTGCGGTCATGGATCGGTATTGTTTCGTCTGCATCTGGTGTATTTGTAATAAACTGGGTCTTTGTGTAGTTCATGTGTAATCCTACTTTTGCCGCCTCATCTTGCAGTTCTTCCAACATATCTGTCAATTCCTGTTTGTCTTTCGCGAACAGTACAATATCGTCGGCAAATCTTAGATTGTGCAGACGTTCACCATGTATGTTCAATCCTTTGTTTTCCCATTGTAGCTTTTTAAAAATATCCTCGAGCACTAAAGTGAATAGTTTTGGAGATATTACGTCCCCTTGCCGAACTCCTCTTTTGGCGTTTATTCTGTCAGATGATTCATGAAGTCTTATCGACATTGTCGAAGTCTTATAGATGTTTTCAATGAGGTTTATATAACGTTGATCCACTCTGGCATTTCTCAAGGATTTTATTATTGCCCAGATTTCCACTGGTGTCGAAGGCTTTCCGGAAATCGACAAAAGCCATCCATAGGTTTATATTATATTCTGTAGCTTCCTCGATCATCTGCCTTACTGTGTGTAGATGTTCTGTTGTGCTATAATGGCTTCGGAATCCAGCCTATTCCTTTGGTTGGGAAACCTAAAGTTTTCGCTCTAATCTGTTGGTGATTATTCTGGTGAATAATTTATATATTTGTGATAGTAAGCTTATCGGCCGGTAGTTTTCGAGATCAGTCGGGTCACCTTTCTTGTAGATCAGAACAACTACAGCATTCTCCCAATCTTTGGGTATATGTTCTTCTGTTAGGCACTTATTGAATAGTTTCACTAGTTCTTGTCTCGTCTTAGTATCGCTTTCCTTGAGCATTTCAGGCAGAATGTTGTCTTCTCCTGCCGCTTTACCATTTTTCATCTGGGATAATCCTTTCTCCAGTTCTTCCATATTTATGTCGGGCATTTCTTCTGAGTTTGCATTTACTATTCGTATTTTGTCTTCCCTTGTCCTTGTGTTTGCTTTTGCTATTTTAGATTCGTATAGAAAGATTCCAAAACTTTTAGTATCTGTTGTCTGTCTTCTACTATGTTGTTTTTCGCATCTTTATTTTGGTTATCTCTTTCTTAGGTGTGTTATGTCTTTTAAATATATTTAGTCCTTCGTTCTGTTCTAATAGGGATTGCACTTGTTTCGTTTGATGTTTTAGCTTATCCTGTTTCGCCATTTTTCTTGCTGCTATGTTGGTTTCTGTGTATTCAATAGTGTCTCTTTTACCCTCGGTTATCAGTTTTCTCCTTTTCTCTAGTAGCTGTTTCGTTTCTATCGACAGTTTGTCCGGCGTTTTCTCTATAGGGGGCCTATTATCTGTTCTGCTGTTTCTGTTATAATTGTTGTTATTCTCTCTATATTCTATTTATTAATATTTATTATATATTTATATCAGCATGTATTTATGGTTGGTATGGTGGTTAGTATCAAAAAGTACTTACCTACCTAAATGTCTACACCACTGGGAAAATTTCAATATTTTTCATAATTTTTTGTATTGGCTGGGTAAAATTTCCTTTCTATTTTCATGACCTTCAAGAAAAGGCAAAATTAATTTTTCAAATATTCTTGACCACGGAAACAAAATATATTCTGCGTCGAAACTAACGAGAGACGAGAGGTCGCATCCAAAATCTAATTATAAAACCAAGATATACGAAAAAAGTGGCTTCACCGATATCACAAACTCACATGACAAGAATATGCATCATGAAACGGTTTTATGTTACAAATAAAATCGTTCTCCATTCAGGAATCTTTGAATCTCTTATACTTTTCAAGTTCTCAGACATGTAGGCCCGGATCCCAGATCACACTGTATATGAACATGTGTTGATGTGAATTAAGTAGATATCTACATACTGGGTGTTTATTTCAAGGTCTCTTAGCCCCAGTATCTTGTTGAAATAAACCAAAATGGAATAGGTTGATGATATTATACCGGGAGACAACTTTAAGAAAAACAATAATCCAATCTGCTCATCGCAAACCCCTCAGAAACCTCCTAAATGATGATGGATTTCAAATAGTCGCTTCATTTTTACTTGCTTGGAAACAGACATCTAATCAACTATTTTTCCCGTCAAAATTGGTTCAACTAACAGATATTTAGCATTGCTACATTGTTTACCAATCGAGAAATATACAATTTTTTTCAATTTCCAAAAGGTCATTATGTATGGAACGTCCAAAGTTAGAACAATGTGAAAGGAAATTTAACGATTCCATTGCTATTCAAGATGATGTATAGATAAAAATGTTTGATTAATATTAATAATAATAGGGCTCTGATTTTCAAAGAATCATCTTTTTAGGAATTAAACGATAAAAATTTTATGTTGAAAGCGGTAAGAGCAATAAGACCAGCTAAATCAATAATAAATGTGCCAATTCTATAACCTTTTCACAAGTTGTTGAAAATGTTGCCAAATTTCTTCTAGTTTCTAGTTCCAGATATACATATTATACGGAATTAATTTTCTAAAATGTAATCCTTATTTTAAAAATGTTCTGATTTCATCAATATGCAGTTGAAGACAAAATTGCTTAACCAGACTTTTGCAATTGGTTCTATTTAGATATTAACATTAACTAGCATCAGACTATTAAAACTGACTTGTTACCTGCAATGGTGCAAATAATTTAATACGATTTTTTATTTAAAAAATGAATCAGTAGTCAGCTCAATAATGCCGGTAAGAGTTTAAGAACAATATTTTTAAAATACCTAAATTTGTCAAAATAGAAATTTGAAAA